AGGGAAGAGTATGTTTAATAGCCTTTTCAGATAATTCTGGACATTCTTTGATACTACACCAAAACTTCACAAGTGGTACTTTCTTAAAGGTTACTAGTATAGTGTAGAATATGAAAACATGTCTGTGAACTTTTTGAACTTTGTTTCACTAAAATTGGTCTCTCTTGCACTTTAAACCAATTTTTTAAATATCATGCTTGGATTGTTTGGAAAATATTAGGTGAATTGTACAGAACTTCTCAATATTGACATATTTCATTTTACAGCATCAAAAATCACATTTCATTTCTATCCCACTGATCTCATTGGAAAAGTCTTTAAGTATTTGGGAAACTATGAAGCTTTTGGTGGCAAATATAAGTTTTTCACTATTACAGGTTTTGCTTGAAGTCCTGGATTTTATCATTGGTAACAACTACTGTAAGTTTTATTCCTTAAAGTGACAGGCTTTACTTCATTCATTTTCAAGGAAATGTGTACCATACCGAGGTGTAAGTAACCAGAATTTGTCTGTCCGTCGTTTTTTCAAGTAAAAATGGTGTTCCATGAAGAAGTATAGAGTCCAGGTTACAGCCCAGACAACTGCCCATGGGCTTTCCTCAAGGCAGTGTCTATGTTAGGAAACAGCAGAAGTGCGTTTTGCTGTAAGGAGTGTCAAAACAATGTGTTGTTATTTGGAATTTAGTAAAATTGATACTTCTTATGGCTTCAGCAAAGATATGTTTGTGTGTGTGTGTTTTGTTTTTTTCTCTTTTTTTGTGGCTGCTGGCTGGTAAGGGAATCCAAACTCGTGACTTTGATGTTATAACACTGCACTCTAACCAACTGAGCTAACTGGCCAGTCCCTGCAAGGATGTTATTAAGTGAAGCCGGCTCTTTATTAAACTGAGAGTGTATGATGGTGCATAATGCAATGATGGTAAGCACCGAAGGTGTCACCACTGCTTTTGCACTACACTGTGAGTGTCAGCACAGCAGAGAGGCATACAATGTTTGGCCAATATTATGACCACAGTTTTGACTTCATGCATCGCCTGATGGGGGGACTCTTCCGGTCTATGGATCATGCTTTGAGACCCTATGGTATGGAAGTCTGACTCTGGAATCAAAGCTGGTTGGAGCCCTTGCTTTGTTATTTAATGTGCTGGCCATGGGACCCAAGTGAGGCCACGCAGCCTTTCCAAGCCCTTGTCTTTTTGTATAGAAAATGGAGACGTGGGCTTCTTTGATGGATTATTGTGAAGATTAAGTGGGAGAACTAAGGAGAGTGTGCATTCTATGGTACCTGCCACACAGTAGGTGCTAGTAAAGGTGTTATTTTCCTTTCTTTCCTTCTTGGCACATTGGGAAGGTTGGGTCTGGGGAGGTTGGAGATGGCAGAGAGATGAAAAGGAAGGGCCTGTTTGGCCTAGAGCCCAGGCAGAGTGCTGTTCTTTGTCACTTGCATTGCCTCTAGGAAGGCGGTGAAGAATGGAAAGAGGAGAGCAGAGCTTCCTGGGGCTGTTTATCTGGGGATGTGCTCAGTTCTCTGGACCCAACCGTTATTTGTGTTTCACCTAAAGAGCTAGCTTCTCTAAAAATTAGCATTGTCTTCTGATTGCTGTCATCTGAGCATCATCTTCAGAGCTCTCCAGAATGGTGAGCAGCAGTCTTTCACACCTGGGGGAACAGAGGCTCAAGGGCAAGGCAGTTTTCACTGCCAGACCTGTGCCCCACTGAAAATCTAAGTGTAGACTAGGTCAAAGTTCTCTTCTTTCCCAGAGTAAAAAATATCAGAGCATGATATTTATAGCCAAGTGAGACCTGAAATTCTCAAAACCAATTCACTTTAATTTTAAAAAATGAACATTATTCTTTTAGCTCAACCACATAGCTCAGGTACTGGTTCCCATAGGAAGTTTCCCCATTTTAGAAGTAAGCAAAGGACAAAAAATTAGTTCGGGCCCAGGCACACCACCAGCACCTTGAGGCCCACCAGGGGACATGAGGTATGGAGCTGGGGACCGGACCCCCACCCACAACCACTCATACTGCCAGCCTCGGGGTCCGCCCAGGAAAATGAGACTTGGAGCCAGGAACCGGACCCTACTCCCATATACAGGCATACTGCGAGAGTCTTGGGGCCTGTCCAGGGGCCTGGGACATGCAGTCAGGAACCAGACCCCCACCCACCCACAACCAGTCACACAGCCAGCACCTTGGGGCCCTGCCTGGGGCCCCAAGGCATGGATCCAGGGACCGAACACTCCCCACAACCAGGCACACTGCCAGCACAAAGGAACATGCCAAAAACATTGCCTGCATTTGGGTGGCCCACCACAGCCACCACTATAACCATGCCTGCAGCAAAAGTGGCGAGATGCCACAACCACCACGCAGATGGTCCACCAGCGACTGGAGTGCATTGACACAAGGAGAGTCACCAGCAGAGATAAAGAAAAGAAGAGGACATCTCTCTTCATAAAGCTTATTTCAGAGTGACAGAAGAAGCATCTGTTCTATGACAATATTGGGAACCTGATCACACTTCTCAACATGGACAGATCATCTAGGCAACAAATCAACAGAGTAATCATTATTCTTTCAGGAGAGAAGAAATCTAGGGTAATTGGAGGGGGGAGGGAGAAGGGGATGGGGAGAAATTGGACAAGGAGCATAAAGAATAATTACGATTTGTAACAATATATATGCTAGTAATATTGATTTGGTCAACATATCTCAATGTTGAACCCCCAAAATTTGTATGATCAATTTTGATTCAATAAAAATTGAAAAATAAATAAATTAAAAAAAAAAAAGAACATTATTCTAACAGTAGTTTGAAGATTGTGTCCCACCTCCAGGAAAGGTTGACAATCCCTGTCCAAGAAAGAGCACAGTGCATGTGAAGAACATTGACTCCTTAGTTTATAATTTGTCTTCCTTATTGCAATGTGGGGGGGGTGGAGAAAAACACAATTCAAATTTAGCTTTCTGAAGAGTGCACGGTTTTGACCTACTGGTCTGGTCTTTTGTCCCTGAGGTTAAGTGTCAAGCCCAGTTATGAAATGATGTTCCATGTCTGTCTACAGTAGAGCTCTTGCCAGCTCAGAGATACCAGAGGAAGAGTTAGCTCCATTCCTGGTCCAGAGCAGCCAGCATGGCCTGCTTCTCTAGGAATGAACCTTGCCTTTACACCTGCAAGAATAAAATTCCAAGGAGAGCACCTCTATGTTTTTAAGTGACCTTTTGTTCTCTCTGCTTGTGGTCACATGATTTGGATTTTGGGTACGCAGACAGAACATACTTGTTTTAGTAATCTTTACTGGTAGCTAGATTTAGTGTTATGTATATATAAACTACAAGTTTATAAACGGTTTGCTTTTTAACATGTGTCCTGAAGTCATCTCCCAACAAGGCCCTCTGTAACTCAGAGTACTTGGATGGGTATTTTGGACAGCAGAGCGCCTGGGTGACTTGGAACACCAATGCATTTCAGTCCATCGCATTGTTAGGTTTTAATGGACTTTCTCTGTCCCCAAGGTGGAAAGGGCCCCTGCATTCCCAAGAGGGATGGGGGAATTGGTATTTCTTTTTCCTGTCATGCGTGGTTCCATAAGCTATGTCACGGGGCCTGGGTGTGTGATGTAAATCCAGCTCAAGTTGGAATGACTAGTGTGGCAGGAGGGATGCTAGACTGCACTTGCAGCCATAAGGTCTTGGTGCTTTGTCCCAGTTTTGCTGCATCTTGACATTGTGACCTTGAGCTAGCCACTTCACTTTGTGGAGCCCCAGATTCTTCACATTTGTAGTCTAGGACTAAGGACACCTGCTCTTTATCTGCTGCAGGGAGTGGTTGATTGTGAGGCTTTAGAGGAAGCACCAGGGAAGCCCTAAGATGGCATTCCAAGGCAGGTGAACCCTGAGGAGAGACCAGCAGGACTTGCCCTGTCAGAGGACAAGGCCGCAGTCCTCTGTGGTGGCCATGAGCATGGGCTTTCCCAGCAGACTGCCTGTGTGTGAGTCTGTACTCCTCCATGGTATGACTTTGGGCAAGTTAGCTAACCTCTCTGTGCTTCAGTTTTTTCATATGAAAAATAGGTATCAAAACGACCTCTCCTCCCCTAAGTACCTACCTCTTAAGGATTAAATGAGATAATAATAGACCTAAAGTACAGATCCCAGTTTCTGGCACATGGAAACACACACAGTTCACATTAAGCTCTTGTGGTCAGGACCACAGTAGGCTTTTCCTGTATGTGAAGTTATGATTCAGGGAACTTAACTGGATATGTGGTTTAGCCAAAACCTTGCAGCAATAACATATTTTAAAGCAGCCGTCATTTAAGAGGGTAGGCCCTTGTCTAACCTGGGAAATAGGTGGAAGGCAGCCAGTCAGAGCGGGAAGGAACCTCCCTCCGTGTAGTGGATGTGACTCACCTACAGGAGCCTTTGCGAGATTCCTTTAGGTTCGTGGGGAAAGAAAGGGTGTGGCTGTAAGCTGGTACTGTTTTTTCCTTCTATGTGAATGCCCAGGTTGTGAAAAATTTCTAGCATTCTACTGAAGCTAAAACACTTTCTTAAATGTCCTTAAATGTCTTGGATTATTCTGTTTTAGTTCCTGAAAAGATCATTTGGATATGTTTTCTTGAGCAAAACAGGCAGATGGTATTTCAGCCCAGTTTACCTATTCCGTGCAGCTTGTAGCAGATGTTTACGATAGGTTTGCAGTAGTAAAAGATGACTGGGTTAGGAATCAGAAGACCTCAGTCCTAAGCCCTACTCCCAGCTCTACTACTACTTCCTGTCTGACCTTGGGCAAGTCTCCTAACCTTTCTGGACCTTAGGTCGATGACCTGCAAAATGGAGAAGATGTTGGTCATCTCTCCTTGCTTTCTTCACCAGGAGTGTCCTAAGGCTCAGAGGAGAGAATGTTTTACAATCAAAGCACAAGTATTAGCATAACAAATGGTGCTGATAACCAAGCTCTGACCCTCCTAATGGAATATTTTCTTTCTCAGTGATGTTACAGCCTTTCGATTATGATCCCAATGAGAAAAGTAAACACAAGTTTATGGTTCAGTCTATGTTTGCTCCATCTGACACTTCTGATATGGAAGCAGTAGTAAGTACTGAATGCTTCTTATTTTTTTCAGTAATGATAAAAAAAAAATGATTAGGTACAGAATTGTGGGTGCATGCATTTCAAAATGTATCAAAATTGTTTAAAAGGGAAAGGTGTTTTCAAGGAGGTTTGTACTTTGACTACTTTTATGGTTTTTCTAAAACTTTGATGAGTAATTTTAACATTTTATGTAACTTTCTAGAATACTGTTTTGACTTTTATAAACAAAATTTGCTTAAGCAGTTCTGAATGGATTGTATGTTGAATGGTTAGGATTCCCCTCCTTGGTCCCAACCTTTCCTCCCCTGACAGAAGAGGATACTTTTCATTCTAGGGAATGTAGAAACCCAGGGGGAATGATAGCTGAATGCCAAATGTCCTTCCCCACTTAGTGGTGTTTGGATTTTTGGAGGGGCTTGATTCTAGTAAGCATGATTCTTTGTTGTTTTTTTTTTTCCCCTAGATTCCTTCATATTTCCCCCTCTGTTTAAATAGATTTTTAACTTTGTCTCTAATTTTGATAAAATTAAAATGACTTTATTTTTGTAAAATAAGTGATGACATATTAATGATGTTTCTGGAAAAAAAGAGATGATAATGGAAATTCTCTTCCCAAAGTAAGTTTTTAACACATTTGAATAAATGCACAGGTATTCTGGTGCTGTAAGTGTGAATTGCAGTCTACAGACAAACCTTGCAATCCACAAGCACCAGCAGGGAAAAGGAGAGTGGGAATGCCTCATACCACTGCCACTGTTCTCTATCCAGCTTGCCAGGCCGGACGGAGACTTAAGTCATCCAAGGACAGTCTGCAGAATTGAGCTGGCTGTTGCTCACACTACTGTAGTTTTCCTCTTTCAAAGTTTTATGCTAAGGGCTGTTCCGTGCCAAGTCTGCCTTCATACTCCAGTGTCCCCACACAGCCTTTTTTTTTTTTTGGTGTTGGAAAAGCAAGGACAGTCTGCAGAATTGAGCTGGCTGTTGCTCACACTACTGTAGTTTTCCTCTTTCAAAGTTTTATGCTAAGGGCTGTTCCGTGCCAAGTCTGCCTTCATACTCCAGTGTCCCCACACAGCCTTTTTTTTTTTTTAGTGTTGGAAAAGCATAATTGACTATCTTCATTGATATTTAACTTTTGGCCAGAAAAGGAAGGGCAAGCCAGATATTTTTGGGTTTGACAGAGATCAGTGATAATAGGCCATCTTTTTTTCTGAAGGATGATCATTGAGGCATTTACTTCTTTCTCTTATTTCCTGGAACATGATATGTTACTTCATGTTAATTTGTGTGATCAAGAAACATGGGACAGATACAAAATATGGAATATCCAAGAGTATGTTCTGTCTGGCTTCTGCTGCATGGCATAGTGAAAAGAGCATGGGCTTGGGCATCTTGGTTTTGGAGTTGAGTTCTGCCTTTTACTAACATTGTGGCCTTGAGCAAATTTTATTAACTTTCTTGAAGTTTTGGTCACCTCTAAAATGAGGATTAAAAACCCAGCTCACATGGCTGCAAGGATTAAGCATGCCATGTGTAAATGCCTGGCCCAGTGTCTGACACATGTTTATCTGAGTCTGTAGCAGGCCAGGCACTGCATATACAATAAAGGATTATTTTGCTTCTTTGTATGATTATTCTGATAATAGTTTTAAAGAAATATTTGTACAAAATGTACATTGTAGGAAATTTTAGAAATACGCAAATGAGCAAAAAATAAAACTAAAAGTGACCTCTAATTCTTTCATATTAGATCTAACTACTGCTAATGAAAGCCTTGTGCTTTTTCTTTATTTTTAAATGTTTTTCTTTTTATTTTGGTATACAGAATGTTGAAAAAATAGTATAGTGACCACTCGTAGAACCTTTACGTAGATTTACCATTTGTTAATATTTTGCCACATTTGCTTCCTTTCTATCATAAATTTTCTTTTTTGGTGAACATTTGAATGTAAAATGCAGACTTTATGACACTTCTTGCCTAAATACTTCAGAACAAGGACAGTCTCTTACATAGTCACGATACTATGGTCATAGCTGAGAAAACTAACATTAATTCAATATTATTGTCTATTAGATAAATCCATATTCATCATTTTCCAGTTGTTCCAAAAATGGCCTGTCATTGTTCTTATTCTAGTAGAGGATCCCAACTCTTTTTGTTTTTCATAACTTTGAATTTTTTAGAGTTCAGGCCAGTTGACTTGCAGGATGTCCCAAATTCCGGATTCATCTGATTATTTCCTCGTGATTTAATTCAGGATAATATTTTTTGGCAAGAATATTCCATAGTGATGTTATGTATGCATCACATCAGGAGACATTTCATGCCGGGTTGTCCCTCTGTTGACGCTGTTTGATTACTTTGTTAAGATGGTGACTGCCAGCTCTCCCCAGTGTCAAAGCACATTTGCCCCTGTGGTTAATAGGTAAGATGTGATACTCTGAGGCCACGTGAGGATCCTGCTTGCCAGCAGTCTGTCACCTAGTGGTTCGGCCTCTAGGGATGGTCCTTGCCTGGTGCTCTTGTGACACATGTGCACAGGCCCACATCCACTGGTACTTGTGTGCAGAGGAACAGACTTCAATATTGCTTGTAGTTTCTTCGCTTAATATTCTGTGGCTTTTCCCCATGTAATTGAATGCTCTTCAGTATCATATGAGTGGCAGCATGCTATTCCATTAAATGGATTTGCCATAATTTATGTGGCAGTCCCCTAGTGTCAAATGTAGAGACTGTTTCCAGGTTTTGGTTCTTGGCACATATGTTGCTGTAGCTGCCTCTTGCATGGTTTTGGGGGGAGGTGATGCCTCTTTCTGTATCCTAACCTTGCTGCTATGCTGGTCTGTAATTTTCAGAACACCCTGGAATTTCCATCCTCCACTGCTGAAGGGAGGAGTAAAGCAGGAACACATCCTCCTAGAACATGGGGTTTAGCCAAGAAGGAGCTCTCACCAAAAACTGAGGGATGGAGGTGGGCCCCTGGGCTGGGCAGCCTAGGTCAGCCACAGTGGCAGAGAATGCTTGCTAGTTAAAGTGCTCCAATAGTAGTTGGCAAAATCGTTCCGAAACCACTCCCACATAGTATGTGCTTTCGCTCTCTAAGAAGGATGTGCCCTGTAAAGTAAGTTTTATGTTCTTAAGGAGAACCAAAGTTACCTCTGGTCATCCAGACATAGTTTAGAAAATTCCTTTGCTCAGTGGTGGTCATCTCCATTCCACGTGCTTCCTATAGACTGCAGCATGTGCCTTGGTTGACTTTGAGGAGTCAGGCAGCAAGACTTCAGGGTTTGTGAAGTGTAATAAATATCCAGGAAAGCCAATGTATTCAATCTTGTCATGTTAAAAATATTGAAATTTCAGTAGACGTAAGTTCTTTATTTGCTGTACATCAGGGCTTTTTCATTAAGAGTATTTTTCTGAAATTGTCAGTTATGGGAAGAAAATTATTCTTCCAGCAGCTTTATAATATCCCGATTATTAAATTTAAATTGTTTTAGTGGAAGGAGGCGAAACCGGAAGACCTTATGGATTCAAAACTTAGATGCGTGTTTGAATTGCCAGCAGAAAATGATAAACCAGTAAGTATGTTTATAGTTAACAGTAATTGAATGCTGCAAGCTGATACTTATTTGCATACCATCTCCTGCAAAACCAAGATTTAAGTTGGCAAATTATTTTCCTTTCTCTGATGTATGAATAAAAAAAATAAGCTGAAGTCAACAAATATGTGGGCCTTTATGCAATCAGCCTTTGAAAGACTTGCAGAAAGACAACTAATTGAAACAATTTTCCCCCTTGAAAAGTGCAACCTATTGGCTGAGGTGTCATAAATCCCAGGAGCTCTTTTGGCTTGACAAAGTTATTGGTTGCGGTTAAGCAGTAGGTGCGACTAAAACAGGAAATAATTTGCCTTTATCATGGTGCTTGATGGACAGGTGGTAAGCTCTTAGGTTCTGTTGTTTTACAAAGTGCCCTGTCAACCCTTTCCCTCATCCCCACTTTTCACTACCCCCTTTACTCACCTACCTTTTCACTCAAAACCTGCTTCTAGATTAGTATTTTTCAGCCTCAGCACTATTGACATGTGGGCTGGATAATTCTTTGTAGTGGGGGCTGTCCTGTGCACTATAGGGGGTTTAACAGCATCCCTGGCCTCTACCCATTAGATACCAGTAGCGTCCCCCAGTTGTGACACCAAAAATGTCTCCAGACATTGCCACATGTACCCTGGGGGGTGAAATCACCCTCCATTAAGAGTGATCTACCGCCTGTGCTGCCTGAGAGAGGGAAGGACAGGAACGTCCTCCTCCAAGCTGCTGGCTCACTTTCTCTTTGTGTGAAACCAAGGGCTGAGCCTGCCGTGGCCCTCACTTGTGACCTGGTGAAGAAAGGAGACTATATCTGAAATGCTAATTTGGACCTCCCTTCAACCTAGTCAGAAAAATTCAAATTGTATTAAAAACACAAAGAATTTGAAATATGCAGAATGCGAAACTCCCCTGGACATGAATATCTGAAGTTGGGAAATAGAAATGCTCTCAAGCATTCTGTTCACATTATCCATAATGATCTCCAGGAATGCTGTTGATTTGTGTCGAACTGTGTAGTGTTTTCTTTCTGCTCAGTAACTGACTGCTGTCATTATCCTGTTGCTTTGAATGGATAGTTGTCCTTTTTCCCTATCCCGTTGTACATTCTGTCCTGGGAAGGTCAGTTTGGAAGTGGTAAGACCTGCATTCTGGTCCCAGCTCTTTTGGTAGGTGGACTTGGTAGCCTGGGGCCTTGCATCCAGGACATCTCTGTCCCCATCTGGAAAACAAAGGGTAGAGACAGATGCCTCGATGCCAGTTTGCTACCCAGACCTCCTGGACAGCAGTCCCCAGTTGCCTTTTCCCCCAGACACCTGAGGGCTTCCATGCCCTTCCCCCACTGGCTGACTCTCATCCCCAGTAAATCTCAAGAGGGTGTCTTGGTACCGTCTTGGCAGGGGAAGTGGGGGAGTATCTAGCGCCTCAGGTTGAAACGTTGCTGACCCTGAGCTTGCTGCACCTTCATTCCAGCTTCCAAGTTCTAAGTTGGTGAAACAAACTGCCCTCTGCCTAACTCTGTCCTTGGCCTCCCACCCCCACCCAGCCAGTCCTGGAGATGTTTGGATCTTTGTGGTAACAGTAATATGTGGCTGTTAATTCCTGAGCTTGCACAATTACAGTATGCTAATTTTTGCATGGTAGAAATTTGATAGTGCATACGCACAGCCCTTTTTCTCTTTCTTTGACGTATTAGTCTCAGCCGAACTTCATTATTTGCCCTTATCCATAATTTCTAGGACTCAGTTGCTTTAGATTATTATTAAGATACTCGATAAAGTGATCCATTTTTAAAATAAATGTGACATTTTACAGTGTGGATGAAATGCTACCACGTGTGGTGTTTGCTGAGAACTACTTTACTTTGCATAAAAAAGTCCTTTATTACATAGTTGGTGACACTTGGGCTTTCATTTATTTCTGAACAGCATGATGTAGAAATAAATAAAATTATATCCACAACTGCATCAAAGACAGAAACACCAACGGTGTCTAAATCTCTGAGTCCTTCCTTGGATGACACTGAAGTTAAGAAGGTGATGGAAGAATGCAGGAGGCTGCAAGGCGAGGTCCAGAGGCTGCGGGATGAGAACAAGCAGCTCAAGGTAAGGCCAGCCCATGTGCTGAGTCTGCAGAGAGCCCAGGCATTTTCACTAGGGCCTTGGGTGGGGAAGCTGATGAGCAACTTCATTTGTAGGTGTTTTCTTGTTTTTTGTTTTTGGTATTTGGCTAATTTTCCTTCTTGGGGAGAAATTTCCATAACTTTCATCAGGTTCTGAAAGGGGTTCTTAAACCCCCCAAAATTAAGAACCACTGTCCCTTGAGCAGAAATGTCTCAACTATTTAAACTCTTGTTTCCTTAAAAAATACTCCAATCCTCCATTAGTGTAAATTGAAAATAAATTTTGAGACTAAAACAGCAGTGGTTATTTTGAATGTGTATTTTCAAACCCCTCTCCATTCCCATTCACTTGGGCGAGAATCTCTTTTTTTAAGAGGATAAATAGTGACTTGTACTCTGTTTTAACATGAATATAATTATGACGTTTGAAGACCGTAAATAGGCCTGGGTGGGAGTGGCCCATCAAACTGTTCACACAGTGATGAGGTTGGAAGTGAATGCTGTCACAGTGGGTAGGAGGAGAAGCCTGAGTCTGTAGCCTGTTGATGTGCACGAGGCAGTTGGCACTGGCATTGGCAGGTCAGCTGCCCTGGGTGGGGAAGGCAGGCAGGGGTGCACTTTTGGCCGGAGGCTGGTGTTGTCGTGGAAATGACTCCAGTTCACTTTGAACTAGCTCCGAACCTGTGCTGGTCACAGCATCTCTCAGGCCTCTGTTTGTTAAATACCTTTAAGGCCCCTTCCAGCTTTAAAAGTATGAGTCTGTTTCAGTCATGGTATTGAAGAGAACATTTCTGAACATCTGATTATAGGAACTTTTGTTGCAGCTTAAGTCTTTAGGCCTATCTGTTCTCTTAATCTTGATCATGCCACCCAAGCATATGATAGGTTGTCGCTCTTTACTGTGGCAGCAGTTACACACAATACATTCTTTAAGTTGATTCTTCTTTCTCTTTTATTCTGGCAGTGAGGTAGATATAGGAGAACTGACAGAATTTGGGAAACGGCATCGGCATCCTCTTCCTTTACAGTAATCTTGATTTACCTCATTCAGTAACTTCTTTCAGTATGGAGTAAGTTATGAAGCTGACACTTTACTTTTTGGCTAAAAATCTGAGCTATGCCTAAAGCTTCTCCTTGAATGTATTTCTCTTCAGAAACAGAGTTCTGTGCTGCTTAAAGTGATAAATAGGTAGAAGTAGCTCCTATATAAACCCAATAAAATAAATGCTGTATTTTTGCTGTGCCCATTTTTTTTTTGAAGCTAATCGAACACCACCAGTCATTTATCACTGTGCAGTGATATTGGCCATGCCCCCCGAGCAGAATATCTTTAAAATATTATCAGACCAATCTTGGCATTCGAAGATTCTTTATCCTGCCAAACACCGATTTCTTGTTTTGTGTTGGTTCATTCTTTCATTTGCTCAACAAATTCACTGAGGGTCTACTGTGCACCTGGCATTGTAGATTCAAACATGAGCAGCCTCTGTCTGCCCTTGAGGAGCTCCCTGTTGATGGGGTAGCAGGGAGAGACATAGACACAGACAGTTACAACCCAGTGTGATAAATTGTTGCAGAGAGATAGCACCAGACTGCTGGGAAAGGTAGCTCCTAGGGCTCATCTGCCTGTTGACTCCAGGACCTACTAGGCACTCAGTGAATGTGAATGAGTTGAAGGAAAAGGAGAAAGAAAGTACAGGTGGTGTGTGAGGTTTAGGGTTGAGTAAATGGGGTAATTAGCAAGAGATCTGGCTACAAAGATGAGTCTGGGCCAGAACAGAAAGGCCTGGATGTAGGTCCTGTTCAGTAATGTAGGCTTGGCCTTGAGGATGTGGGAAATGGCATCATAGATCTGAACAGAAACGTGCAGATTCTTAAGGCAGTGCAGGACAACCAAGACAGTGGCTGTGGAGGTGAAAGAAGAAGGAAGTTTATTTCTTACACATCCTTGTAGTTAGGGGGGAAGTGTGGTCAAGTATCTTTTTATGCATGAGAGAGAATGCTGCTTCTTTAGTGAGAAATCCATGTAAGTAGAAAATATTTGAGATGTATCAAGGTCACATTTTAATATTCCAAATGTCATTCAATGTGGCAGTCTGCATGAGCTCAGCAATGACCAACTGTGTATAGAGCTCTGCACTTGAAAGCTTCCAGGTGTCCCACTTTGTAGTTTCTTGTGATTGGTGTATTTGTGCCTTGGAAATGCCTATCATTTCAAAAATCGATGATGACTTCAGTAAGGGAGCCTGTTCATTAGAGGCAGGAAGGTCAGAGGGGTTGGAGTTGGAGGTAGGAGAAGAGAAGCAGTTGGGACACAGCCAGAAAGATGTATGGGACCATGGGTACAAAGGGTCCAGCTGACCATCTTAAGAGCTTTTTTCCTGTAAATTATGGGGAACCAAGGAGTGCCCTGCTTAGATTTGTGTTATAAAAAGGTAACTGGCAGCATCATGTGGGATGGATGAAAGAAAAAAGAGGCCTCTGTCAATCTTTTCTCAGTGGCCTCAAGCCAGTCCCTTCTTCTCTGTGGGCTTCAGTTTCTCCATTTGCAAAATGAGGTTGGACCCTATCGTGTGCTCTGAGTCTGGACATAAACAGCCCCCCATGCCAAGATGTACAGTTGACTCCCCTTTTTGTTGCCCTGTGTTGTCTTTGAAATGTGCGTTTGCTTCCGTAGGAAGAAGATGGACTTCGGATGAGGAAGTCTGTGCAGAGCAACAATCCCATGTCAGCGGTAGCCACCACCGGGAAGGAGGAAGGCCTCAGCACCCGGCTACTCGCTCTGGTGGTTTTGTTCTTTATCGTTGGTGTAATTATAGGGAAGATCGCCTTGTAGAGGCAGCATGCAAAGGATGGTAAATTGGATTGATGGATCCACCATATCATGGGATTTAAATTTATCATAACCATGTGTAAAAAAAAATTAACGTATGATGACATCTCACAGGTCTTGCCTTTAAATTACTCCTCTCCGCGCGCGTGCACACACACACAAATATAACAATATAACAATCTTTTAGAAAGTAAAAAATGTATAGTAAATGATTGGGGGGGAAATGATCTTTATTAATGACAAGGGAAACCGTGATTAATACCACAGTGGCATATTGTAAATGTCATCTTAAGCATTGGTAGGCCTTGGTACATGTTGCTGGATTACCTCTCTTAAAACAAGACTCTCTTCTTCACCTGTTGGTGCTGGCTCATGGGGAGCTGGAGTCCAGCGTGGTGGGGAGTGCAGTCACCTCCACACAGTAACCCCCACGCTACACACTCCCTGCCCAGGCTGCTTTCCATGTCTTCAGTTCTGTCCAGGCCATCAGTACCTTGGGACTGATGAAGAGAGCCAGAAGCTGAAAAGAATCGCACTGTGGCAGTATCAGATGTGCTCCTCACGAATGAGAGGCATATGTTGACTGATTGACCCAACACTTTGGAATTATAAGTCAGTGCTTTGTTCTCTTAAAGGGACCAAGCTAAATTACTATTGGTTCATGTAGTGAAATTGAACTGTTATTCAGAGATGTTTAATGCATATTTAACTTATTTAATGTATTTCATCTCATGTTTTCTTATTGTCACAAGACTACATTAATGCTGCAGCCTAAAAGTCATCCGTGCTACCTAACGCTGGTGAGTGAAGCTGGTGTTGCTACTGGAGAGCTGTGGGCTTCTCTGTCTCTGGAGGTTCTGGGCATGTGGAGGGAGGGTTTATGTGAATGTCGGAGAATAGCTACCAGGAAGTGTTTTTGTGTGTTAATAAATAACAATCATCATAGGGAGGGAAATTCTTAGTAGTGTCAGTTGACTCTAGGTTACTCTTTCTAATGGAGAAGAGTAGCTAGTCTTTTAGATTGTTCTTTCGCTACCACTCGCGCTCCCAGCACAAAGGCCCACATCTGGTCCTGGCCTCCCCATGCGGCCCTAGCTTGGAGTCAGGATGAGTGATTCAGGCTACAGAGGGTTAGGAGAGGGGGCGCCAGCAGGCGGGAGTGGGGAGCTGACCCACTGAGTAATAATTGAGAGTTTGATGTTAATTAATTCTGTTCCATGAAAGACCAATCCAGTTCTGTTTGACTGTGTAGCATCTTAAAAAGAAAATTAAAATAAAGCCCCCAAATGAGGAGTTCTTTTGTCATTTTGTCACATTTGCTATGTGGGGGTAATTATGATCTTTTTATCATCATCATCATCATCACCATCATTTTGTTATTGCAAGTTTGATTTAAAAATTAGCCCTATCAATGAGAAATACATGTTTAGTGATGTAACTACATACACACACGCAAGTGTGTATACACACACACACACACACACACACATTTTTTTTTGGTGGGCTTCAACTGAGTGTATGAAAAATAAAACTGCTGAAAATCTAAGCACCTGGTCACCCTTGCCCTTCCATTGCTTTGGCCTTTAATGAAAATCAGTCTCCCCTCAGGGTGAGGGAGCCATGGCACAAACACCAGGTGTGCTAGGTGTGGCTCCAGTATGGACATGGGTTTGAGAGGACAATTTCATTAGAAGGAAGACAGTTCTTAGAAGTCACATACCTTGAGCCACATTGCTCCCGATCCTGGCTCTGGTGAGCTGAGTCAGACTCCTTGGGACTGTGAAGTGGATCTGAGTAACTTCCTGCCTTTGTGAAAAGGAGTTCACTATAAGTTCCAGGTGCTCCAGAAAATGTCGAGCAGACCTAGTTCTCACCCGAGCACCTATTGCACAGATGCATTGAACATGCAGACAGGAAGGCTGCCCATCATAAATTAGTCTCCAGGATCTTTTCCACGTGGCCCTGGGTACTTGTGAAAGGGGTGAAAAGACTGAGCTGGGAGGAATGTGCCTTCTGCCACCCAATTTTTCTGTACGTGTGCTAAAATTTGCTAATTGTAGTTGCTGCAGCAAATTAGTTTTTCTGTAGCTTCCAGTCCCTGGTGGCATTGAAAGATGATTAGAAAGGCCTCAAACAGTACTTGGGGGACTAGAGCAGGAGTTTGTAAACTTTTTCTTAAAGAGCACGGCCGTGAGGGCCCACCCATGGCTCACTTGGGTGAGTGTGGTGCTGATAATACCAAAGCCACGGGTTTGGATCCCTATATAGGGATGGCTGGTTAGCTCACTTGGGAGAGCATGGTGCTGACAACACCAAGTCAAGGATTAAGATCCCCTTAACTGGTCATCTTTAAAAGAAAAGAAAAGCACAGTTGTGTGTACTGATAAAACTTTATTCACAAAAACAGGCAACTGGTGGGATTTGACCTGAGAGTCCATGACAGTTCAGTGCCTGGAAAACTACTCTGTTTCAGGTTTTGAAAGGGATTTAGTGTTTTGTGTACATCTAGGAGAAGGTATTTGGCTTCTCAGAGGATGTAGACATTTTGTTTGTAGCTAAAAATCAAATTTTAAAATTCAAAGTTCTTCCTTCTAACTGTTAATCCTCTGAAGTCTCTTTCCCCAGAGGTTGGGATTTATTGAACACGTTAGTTTGTAGGGCTTTTTGACTGAGTAGAAACTTCACAGGGATAGAAGAAGGGTAGTGGGAAGATGGTTATTCTGTATGTCATCCTGGTCAGTAAAGAATGTGCCAGAAGAGAGCATGTGTGTGCAGCAAGTGCTGCTCATGCCCAGGGCCCCTCTAAAGAGCCACAAACCCTTGGGAGAACGGAGACACGTGCACATTTTGGGTGTCTTCTGGAATGACGAGGAAAAAAAGTGAGAGTAAGGCAAAGAGAAGGTCCTGTCACAATGGTCTGCTCCGGGGATGGACTGGCACAGACTGCGAGGCTGAGGCTGGCTAGGGGCTGGCGGGAAGTGAGCCGCTGGCAGGCTGCCCTGTACCTGCTACCTTGGTTACTGGTCCCACAGGAACTCCAAGAAGGGTGCCTGGCCACAGAGCTCAGAAGTGCAGAAGAGAGGAAAGCAGTGCAGAGTCCTGTAAACTTTTATTGATTGACTTTTTAAGTTGATAATGTAAGTGCCCTTGGCACAATACAAAATACCTCTTAAAGACAGCAGGCTGTATTATCTGTAGGTGTGAGAACCCAGCTTTAATTTTTTTCCCCTCCTAGTTTGTGTGTTTTCCCTCTCTAGGCTTCTAAACTGCTGGCACTAGCAGTAATAAATACTGATAAAATCAAAATTGATTTTTACCAGTGGATAGTTTATGCCTAGAGAGATGGCTTATACCTACATAACACAGAAGGGGGAAAAATGAAGAACCTCTAGTGATCTGTGAAAACCCAAATGCTTTCAAACAAGTCCCAGGAACAGAATTGCTATCAGAAGATATCAGTGCCCAGCTTGCAGGCTGTGTTGAGTCAGATATAACTGAATGCAGTGAGAGCTCACAGTTAAATAGCCTTTCAGATTAATTTGAAAACAAGCTGTGTGTGTGTGTGTGTGTGTGTGTGTGTGTGTGTGTGCGCGTGCGTGCGTGCGTGTGCGTGCGCGCGCGCGCGCACGTGGGGGTGGGGGGCATGTGTACCGTATGTAAGTAGCTTGACAGTTTTCAAGTGGTGCCTTTATTTTTTGCGCACACAAATCTCTATTTGCAAACTCAGAATCTATGCCAAAATAAAATGCCATTTGTCATTTTCAACTCCTTCTCTAAAGAACTGGCCCATGTACAAATTTCTGGTTCTGGTTTGTGAAATTCTTGTTTTAAAGAAAAAAATATCAAGAGAAATGGGTCTTGGGCTTCCAAGTCACTTTGAACATCTGATTAACGTTTCACCTTTGAGACCTTCTCGGGTGTGGTGGCCACTGCCTCCCCCTGCTGGAGATGGCACTTCACTGAAGGGCGTCTGGCTGCGGCGTCCCCGTCTCTCCTGTTGAGCCGTCTGCCCTGCAGGAGGAGAACTAAGTAAAACTTGGCATTAAGCGAAAGTTACCACTCTGAGGAAACCTATCTTAATTAAGCTTGGGGCCATGTGCGCTGTTGCCAAGAATGAGCGCTTTCAAAGATGAGCAGAAACAGAACTGTATTTAGAAAGTCCTGTGAAAAGCGTAGATAGATGACCCCAGTTCCTGGCACATGAATCTGATAAGGCCAGCGATTACTCTTCGGTAACGTAAAGGGCAGCTCTATCACATGCCCCTCTGCAAAATCGGGTCCCTCAGGGTTTCTGTGGCCTGACTGGATTTGGAGAAGGTTTTTCCCCCCTTCCTTAGACAGAGCTACTCTGATAGGAGCCTTCTGGAGAAGTTGCTGTTGTTTCAATATCACTCCCTATCTGTGCAGAGCATTTCCAGTACACTCCATTGAACAAATCCTCACAACAGCTATGGCGAGTGCTCTTGTACACAAGGAAATGAAGGCTCCAGGAGGTAAAACTGGGCAACTCTTCAATATCTCTTGTTTGGAGGTAGATCAGTCTGCAAAGGCCTGTGTCATTAAGACGCTATTGCAACTCTGAAAATGCTCACGGGAACCGAGGGAATGAACCTTGACTGCTCTTAGCTGCTCTGCCTTTTACATGTCTGCCTCCTTACCTGATTCCGTTATTTTCAAGCTAAAGTAGGTTGAATCAGGACTTGAGTTCAGATGCTTTTTCTTTTTCTTTTGGAAACTGAACACACTCCAAACAATGAAGAAATGTGCATCTTCCATTTTCTCATTGCTTGAAAATCTCTACCCTACGCTCCTGGGGAATGAACTTGGGGGCTTTAGAAAGAAAATTACCAGTCTGTCTCAGCAAGGGGATGATGGCAATGCTTTATACGGAGGCTTTACATAACTTGTAAATTAAATGTGAATGAGGACAGTTCATTAAAATTGGTATTACAGAAGTGGCCTGCCGAGGTTTGAAAGCAGCCACGCTGCTGGTGTCTTGGGCACTTCCCTGAATTAGTGCTGCATTTCTGTGGGAAACCAGCAAAGGGAGCAAATAATGGAAGATCCTGATAAGGACCATCAGCCAAGAGGCGAGCTTAGGAGGCCGTGCGAATGGATCTGCAGGGGATTCACAGACCTCTTCCTTCAGCCTCCAAATCCCGTCAGTGGCACACTTAGCACATGAGGCTCAGCCACCAGCAACATGAGTTGGGGCACACAAGGTCACCCATCCTGTGCTGAGGGAACCAGACCTCCCTCTGTGGGGTGTTTTTAGCTCTGTCTACAGCACTTAACTATAGAGGTTTCATCTTACTTAATTTTTATTAAGGGGTATTTTGAAAAATTTAAAAGACAGGAGCACACATAAACAGTTCTGTGTAATAGTTAAAAGCGAAACCAGAGGAGGTGGATGAAAGGTTGTCTTGATAAATATAATTACTTCTGATTTTCTTAATGGAATTAATTCATTAGAAAATGTCTGCATCAGATCTGTAGAAAAGGAAGAAAAAGATAGCAACAAAAGGATAGCTATTATCTAACTTGCTGTATTTGCAATTGTGATACTTTGGAATGTTGCCACGATATGGATTGCTTTGATTAAAAGATGTCAGCTAAATAAAACAATACTGTGGGAGAATTGTTTTCTGCTGCTAGATAAATAAATGTTGATGTTTATTTTTAAACCGGGAAACATTGATCCTGTAACAATGGCCTATTACAATTGCTTTATTACACCACGGGGCTGATGCGGATTTAATCATTTGGCTAATGGATGTGGGTGCAGGATGGATGCTCGTGCTGTCCTGCGCTCCCACTTGCATTCTGATGGGCCTCAGGAGCTCGGCTGGGCATCTGCAGGTGCAGCTGCGGCTGCAGAGTTGTGTTTCCCTGAAACCCGAAGCCATGTCTGGCCGAAATAAAATAGGTTGCCTTTTCCTTTTTGTTTCCCTTCAGAAAACACTAACTATGGGAGACAAATCAGATATCTTAACACAATTTAATTAAGGCTTAGTACTAACAAGAATGCATAGCTTTTTATGATTTAGGAAGATGATAAATTACTGTGCACATTTCACACGTTGACTCACCAGTTTTCCGTGTAATACAAAAAAGCCCTGCTGCCTGCATTCCCATATTTCTTTTGTTTTTTTAGAAGTAAACTAGATTCAGCTGTTAACCCTCTAGTGCAGCATTCATTAAAAATTTTTTTTCCATTGAATCTTTTATGTGGATTCAAAGGTCAGAATAAGTGTCTGTAATACTGAGACCATGTGTGCAAGAGCTGCTTTTTG